TGCTGCCAAATTTAACACATTAATTTAGATTAATTAAAAAAATTACGTGTTGAAAAAATGAAATGAACAAAAAAAACCCAAAAAATTTAATAATCTGTTATGCTTAAGTTCAATGAAAAATTACATGCATTTGGAAAAATGTCTCTAGAATTGGAAATAAAGCAATTTATTGATTTCTAATGCCACCTCTGGATATTTCTATTCAATGCTTTAATGTGCCACAATAATAACAGATCTTTGGGGGATCAAAGCAAATATTGATATATGTGATTGTTGGCACCCTTTAAAGTCTCCGTGCCACCCTCTGGCCACCCCATTAATATTTCTTTAGATCCGCCCCTGCAGAAGAAAACTGTGTTTAAAAAAAAAAAATCAACGCTTTCCAGGAAAAGTAACAGATTTATCTTTGGTTTAAGGCTGTCTCAAGGCCGTAGTTTAATTCCCGCTGCATCTGTGGGATGTAAGAAAATCAACTGTGTTGTTTTGACACAATAAAAAGCTTCAGGAGTCGGAGGAGTTTGTCAAATTATTTCCCCAACCTGTGGCGGAATCATACAATAATTTATCCGAAGCTCAAAATGACAAAATTGCCCTCAAAATTACACCGGCAGCGACAACAGCAATATTTAACACTTACTTCATCTCACCTCCACTCTAAATGTTTCGACTCAACCTGCCCCCCCGAAACCACAAACAGAAAAAAAACCTGTATTTAAAAATAAAGACATCGCCTATCTCGTTAAATAAATATTGAAGTGTGAAAGAGACTGTAATTCCTTGAACTCTTGCCCTGCCACAAATAAGCCAGGAGGAAAGCTAGTCTTTTGTGTGAGTGTGTGTGTTTTTAAGCAAAGAAAGAAATTGCACCTTCACCTGCTCTTTATGAATTTCCCTCCATTTTTCACTCTCTTTCTGTCCGTCTCCCCCTCCTCTTTCTGTCTCTTTTTCTTCTCTTTTTTCTTTCTCCTCCTGTGCTGCAGTTTTCCGTTGGAAGACAGATGTGTTTCAACATGCTCTGGACTGTAGTTAACACTGCCGATCTCTCTCTCTCTCACACACACACACTCTCTCTCTCACACACACTCTCACATACACACACACACTTTCTATCCCCCTTAATTTAATGGAACCTAACCCGTCCTTTGGCCTTTGTTTGATTTCTGACTTTTTTGTTTCTAGCTTGTTGAAAAGCGCCTGTTCAAAGGTACTCTCTTAAGAGGAATATGTTTATGTGTGTGTGTGTGTGCATGCCTACATACAAGTAAATCTAACTTAGGAGAGTGGGTGATAGCAGGGTTTATCTGAGTAGATGAAGCAGGGCAGGAAGGAGCAGTCTTGTAGTATTGGATCAATCCCTGCGGCCACGGATCGTGCTGATGATTGCTTTATTGGTTCATCAAAGAGTGGTCTTGTTTTTGCTGTGCGTGGGTGCAAAAAAGTTCTATTTTCCACTGTGATGTTAACTTGTGTTATCCAGTACATACACGTGCCTGTATGGTTGAGCGTGAAGGAAACAAGTGTTACAAATTGAAATGGACCCACTTATTAGTCATTAAGATTTGATGATCCTGACCAGTGGCAATCCTCCTCTATCTCTTCAGATAAAAATCATATTAAGTTACTATTGCCGGTTCCAGTCTGGATGCTGGCTTATCACGGCCATCTTGCTGAGGCCTCTCTCTTTCCCTCAAGGCACTCTATGGTAGTGTGTTATCTCTCCTGCAGCGGTGTAATGCAATGAAGCTCTCCAGTTTCACTCACCAGACCTCCGCCTTCCTCTGTTACTCAGGTGTCTGAGTGGCCCTCAGCCAATGAAACTCTCTTTTATGAACCATGCATCATTTGCTCCTCAAGGCAAGGCCGGCACAGGATGGACAATGTCATAGCGGACTAGACAACAATGTACAGTATGCGCAGTGAATGTGCAAAATATTAGGGATGGTCACTGTTCTCACGCAGATGAGGCAAATAAAAGCTTCATCTCTTATTGGTGTTTACTGATTTTCAACACCAATTGCACGAGAGGCAGAGCTAAGGGTAACATTTTTGTTTTGAGAGTTCAGACGTGGACTGAGCAAAGACGGCTGCAACTCAATACTAGTAAGAACTTTTTCTGGCTTAAGATGTTAAAATGATCTAGGGCCATATAGTGACATTTTTAACAATCCACTGTGATAAAGAAAACTTGTGCTGGCAGTCTTATCTATTCTCCCTGATCCTCATGTCTTTAATGTCGGGGTCTGTACTGTTCCCCGCTTTCCTTCCCTTAAGTCCTAGTTTTTAGTGCCTGCTTTAATGTCTGTCAACGATCTACGGCCAGAGCAGCAGTCTGGTCTTAACTCTGGTCTTGGCATGGCTTTATCTGGGGATACAAACAAAGCAATCTTATCAGCACTTCCTTTGTGGTGTCCCTTCCCGCTGTGATAACCTGAATCAGTGCAAAGGAAACAGAGCTGGGAGTAGCACGCCTCATTTATATTGATTATTGTTGCTGCAATAATAGTGGAGTAAGAGATTTGAGTATTTCTGGATTTATTTGCATCATTGAAAAATGGCCTCTGACTAACCAAAATGATATTCAACCACTATGACTTATTTAATTTAAATAAGAATAATAAATAGAATAAAGAAATATTTCTTTAACTATATAAAAACAACTTATAATGTCTTCTTTAACATGTTGTGGTTGAGAACAACATGAATTTTTCCTTTCAGATTTTACATTTTCATACTGTGAAAATAAATACTTAACACAGCAGTACCAAATGCACAAATGTCCATTTTAAGTCATTTAATCTAATGGAGTAAATGTATGTTTTATTTCTCTTCTTAAAAATCTCCCACTGAGGTTAAATAGTTTGACCCATTTCCACTGCACATTGAAGTAATTTAACAGCAATTTAAGTGCTAGATCAAGATAGTGTCCCCTGGGTAAAGAAAATGTATGAAGCCTGTTTAAGAAATATAATATTTTACTATGTTAAATACCTGGTTATGGTGAACATTTTGCATTCTTTCAGTGTATTTTTTTTCTCAATTATATCATAAAGCTGTATACTTTCCATAAGCAGTATGAGACCTAAAATACTATAACATTCCTCAACTGACAACAAAGGATTTCACATTGAAGGCATCTGTCAGATTCTCAGACCAGGATTCAAGACACCGAAGAGACTAAAACTGTGCAGATATACCCTCTGCTCTTAGCGTTCTTTTCCAAGACAGTAATGTCCTCTAGGTACCTCAGAGGGATGTAGGCTTGCAATGATGCTGACAGACTCGCAAGATTTGCAGGATTTCTTTACAAGCCAAGGATCAAATTCTTTGTAAACAATATAAGTGAGATTTGATGGTCTCATCTCCCTCCCTGCTCTACAGCTTTAGCATTTAGTGTATCTTTATAGATCTATCTCCCTGAATTGCATTTCAAAGTTCAAAACAATAGGCAATAGAACAGACAAATGTGCTTCTGATCCCTCCCTACAGGCTGTGGCTCTAGCTGGGTTCTTACACTATTTTCAAACACAAAAACATAATTACAATAAAGGCAATGGAAAGGCAAATACCGGAAATTTAGACGCGTCAGCGGAGATTTGATTTCACACAGTACCAATTGCCAAAAAGAAAAATAAATCAAGGCGAAACACATGGAAAGATTCCATTTATTCCTTTTGTGGTGTAATGTAAGTGAGTTTCACAAAAGCAAACTCTTGTTTTTCCACATTTGTATTTGACAAAGTAGTAAACTTATCAGGTGTTTTTGTTGTATCCAGATTAGTAAGATGTTACAGTGCTGATCATTAAC